CATAGGCATTGGTTGGCAAATCATAGTTCCTTAGAATTTGAGCCTTTGGACTTCCTTTCTAAGCTGTTTAAAGCGGAGAAAATGGTATATTGCCCTAAATCTTAATGAATGCTGAGGGCGGCACCAAAACTCCTTCCAGCTGACTCTGAACACCTGTCAGTTCAGTAACATCGCAGCAGAAAAAGGTTGGATTAAACTAAGAGAAGAACATAAAAGTACAGTCTTCACTCTCACTAAAACAATACATGTTTTGTCTGGTTCTCAGCCAGTTCATGTGAAGAGTACAACCTTAAATTAAAATATAAACTACTCAAAAAACAAGCTGGATCTATTGTCCAGCTGAGGCTCCTTGCTGAAAGGACTAGCACAGACAAGGGAAGGCATGATTTTAGGAAGCAACAGGATTCCAGAGACAGAAACATTTTTTTTTTTAATTCTTGGGAAAAGCTCAAAAATTTCCAACCACCAGGCACATGATCAGATGCCCATGGAGAGGTCTAGTGGGAGTTCATATGGACCAGACCCAAGAAATGGCTGAGAACATTCCTTCCCTCTTTCCAACCTTTTCTTTTGTGGGAATTAGATATCCCCTAGAGACCAGTTGTGATAGGAGGTAACAAAAGGTTAAGAAGATGTGCCATTAAAGGAACATCTGCTAATTCTCTCTAGAACACAGAAGCATGCTGAGAGGTCTGAGAATCCCACACTCAAATGGGAAGAGAGGAAACCCTTGTCCTTACTAAATAGAAAATACTGGAGAAATCATGAACTAGGTCAGATGTCCTAGGGTTTGAGGAAAAGAGGAACATACTTGGAAAAAAATTCATCTAGTGAGCCCAAATGGAAAATTATTATTTTTTTTCTACTTCCTCTTTATTTTTATAAGAAAATTTTTAGGGAAGAACCATTACAAAGTAGAGTTATAAAGGTACTCTCTGGTGTTTCCTGAGGCAGGATAGAAACAGTACAATCCTGTGAAGGATCTGGATTTGGTTCCCACACTTCTCTCTCTCATTATATGGCTCCAGGTGAGGTGTTCAGCTGCCACAAGCCTTCAACTCCTCAGGTATAAAATGAGTTGACTTTTGAATTAGAAGAACTTCAGAAATATTCTAAGAGCCCTTGATTTATTCAGGGTTAGAGGGAGAGAGATTCTTTGATAAGAATGGAACTTGAAGGCCAAATAGAATCTCAGAAAACCCAGGGAGGGAGAAACTGCTTTCAAAAGAACATTAAGACCTTTCTCATGTATAAATGTCACAGAGCTGGCCGAAACAGATTTAGAGCTGGTAAGCTCTTTAGAGATTTCCTGCAATCCCCATGTTTTATAGAGGGAAAAATCTGAGCCTAGAGAAGCTGAAGTGACTTACAAAAGATTACCAAATTCACGTTACTGTCAAGGTACGAATTCAGGTGTCTGTTCTGGGAGAGGCTGAGCAAGCAAGGGGGGAACAGGATCAGACCTCAGAAACAATTACCGCCATCTTTTGAACATTATCCCTGAGCCAGGCATCATGCCCAGTGCCGTTGATGCTTTGGGCCATTGAATCCTCACAACTTTGAATGATAGGTATGATCATCTATCTCCAGACCCAGCTTCATAGGGTTGAGAGGATTGTAGTCACAGTGAGACCCCCCATTCAGAAGGGCCCCATGCTCTGTAGACACCATCTTGAAATTCTTAATAATTTTTGAACAAGGGACCCCACATTTTCATTTTATACTGAGCCCCACAAATTATGTAGCTAGTCTTCATTATCTACATGTTGTAGATATGTCAACCAACAGGTTTAGAGAAATTAAATGATTTGCTCTTGGTCATAGTCACTCTCAAAAATGGGGATGCAGACACATAAAAGCAGGCATTGTAAAGGTGGACCTAAGGAAGTCTATGTGGATGCTGTGCTTTCAGAACTCTTTGGGTATTTCCCTTCCTCTAACGGCCCAGATCTCTCTGTGCTCTGAGTAGGGTGGCCAACCATAGAAGCTGGGGGATACCCAGGACACGGGATTTTCACTGCTAAAATTGGGAAAGTTTTGGGCAAACCAGGATGAGTTGATTACTGCTGACTCCCAGGCATGGGGTTCCAGCCTTCATCTGTTGTGCCATGTCCTGTGCCTTCTGGGCCACATCCAGGTCCCCAAAGGCAGGGCCCGTTCGGAGGGCAGGCTGGAGACCTTGATCAGGCAGAGGGTGGGCAGCCAACTGGCTATGATTGTGAGACTGGGGCCAGGCAAATGAATACAGAATGACAAGTCTGCTTGAGAAAAGACAGGCTGCAGTTTGTATTTAGAGACCCAAACCAGGCTGAAGACAGCGTGGGTGCAGACAGCCAAGAGCAGAAGGCAATGGGCTGGAGCAATGCCGCAGGGTACAGGCTTAAGAGATCTTCAGCTAACTCACTCTATGACACTGGGCACATCACTTTGCTGAATCTAAATGTACTCATTCAAAACATAAGGGATGCAATACTAGCTTCATGAGATCATTGTCAAGATGAGAGATTCTATATATATATATATATATATAACTGGCACACAGTTAAGTATGGCCACACTGAAAGTCTCAATTTATGTTTATTTAATCCCATAAATATTTATAGAACTCTATTATGAACTAGGCTCTGTGGGCGAAACTGGGATACCTTCAGTTCTTATGGGAATAACCAGTGGTGTGCTCATAAATGTTTAACAACCAGCTCTCTGGGGGAAAAGTTAAAAACTGCTTTGTAGCATATGCTAATTTCTACAGTATAAATCCTCCCACCATTGGCTGATGTCAGTCTACTAACATGAGGTCACTGAATACAGAGTTGAGAAAAGTTGTGCTTAATTTGCTCTAGGGATCCTATACCAGCAGATCCCTGAGCTACTTGTTATTAGAAAGAAAAAACTATCTACTTGTAATTATTATAGAAGAGGGGGAAACGGGTTGATGTAACTTTGGATAGAGAGCAGGGAGGACCCCTTTGAGGAAGTAAGATTCCTTCTGAGATATAACCAGGGGAAGGAATCGGCATGTTTGCAGGTCAGGAGAAAAGAGAGAGAGGAAGAAAGAGGAAAGCATATTGAGAAAGTCCTGGAGCAGGGAAAGACAGGTGGGGAGGAGCAGAGAACCAGGCAGTGCAGGAGCCAAGGTCACCAGGTTCCAGCACTGGGTTTTATGCTAAGGAAGCCACAGGCATAATACTTATACTTTAGGATCATCACTCTGGCTGAAGTGTAAGGAATGTGTTGAGGGACAGAGGGCAGGCAGGGAGATCAGGCCATGGTTAGTACCTCAAGCAGAAGATGCTGCTCTCTGAGGTTTTGTAGCTGGAGGCATGTGGATGCTGATGTGATGGCAGGAGGGGGTCAGGTCCTCTGGGGAGCCCTCAGCCTTCTGCCAACAAACCACTACCTTCCTGTTCAGCACTCCTATTACGCTTCCCCAAAACCCCCAGCGGTGTTTCTGAGATGCATTTGAATCTTTCAGGAAGAAAGTGAGGCTAGAGTGACACAATAAGGAAAACAATGTCCGTATTTATCATTGTCACATTTTAGAATATTATTCTAAGGAGTTCCATTTTTATGGTTTTTAGATCATATGCACAAAGAGAAAAAAACAAATGTTCATAATCTGATTAAATTGCTGATTAGAATATAGCACAAAAGGAGGTTTTCTGAGACAGTTTTTCCATTCTCAGATAAATATGAATTTGACATATAGCAAATATTCTTCTCCAGAACTTGACAGCTGAGAAATTGAGACAGGCCAGGAAACAAGCTGAGGAGGCAGTTGTGTGACTTGAACTGCAATTCCTGCCAACCCACTTATGGTTAAAGACATACTTTTTATCTTCATGTATTCATGTTTTAATGAGATGATGGGCAGTGAGTCTGGATCAGGGGCTTTAAAATAGAATTCACCTTCACTAACCAGTTGTGTCAAACTTGCCCAAACATTTCCTTGAAAGCATCCCCCCTATGGTATTTCTATTTTCATTGGCAGCCTCTTCCCTAGACTTTCTCTTCCCATCAGTTTGTTCTCCCCCAGCACCCCTGTCATAAAAAGAATGAAACCCAAGTAGTTGTGAACTTTTATCAAAGCAACAAAAATTGTCTTCAGTACTTTAAGATCACATAGACCTGGTTCAGGTCCTCATTTCACCACTTATAAGATATACTTAACTTCTCTGAACCTCAGTTTCTCAGCTGTAAAATGATGTTGCCTACCTTATATGGTTGTCAAGAGGAATACATGAGTGCTTAGCATTCAGTACATCTATTGCCATCATAATCACCGTCAGTTGCTGCCACAGCCTCACAATGTAACTGTGATCAATAAGAGGTTTAGAAGAAGGAACAGATGCCCCCTTCTAGAATGTAGTGACAAGAAGCAGGAGAAATGCCTTATGGAGCTTCTCAAACAATTGCCCTCAGATCTCTCCCTTTCCCACTCTACCCAAATAGCACACATCAGTTGGCACTTAGGAATCACTAAGTGAATCAGCCCGTAGATATTGATATAAAAGCTGTGACTTTGCCTGGTCACTGCCTATGTGAAAGAAAGGGGAATGTTTTTCCTAATCCCCAAATTTTAATTTTGACATTGGCTCCAGGATCAGATATCAAAATGTAAGATATTCTTGAAAGTTATTATTCATAGACCTAAATCAATTGGTTGACCCAGTTATAAAGTTAAAAACAGAGCTGAGCAGTCACCAGCAGGAGGAGCTAGAAGGCCAGTGTGTGTGTGTGTGTGTGTGTGTGTGTGTGTGTGTGTGTGTGTGTGTGTGTGTAAGGGGGAATTTGTGGGGGTAAAATCGTGATCTAAGGGTGGGGATGCTTTTCACTTTGGCTTGCAGGTACACGGTCAACTTTTGGAAAGATCTGTGTTAAAACTAAGGTGTTTAAAGCCACCAGACTTAAAGAAGGGGAGATAATTAAACCAACCTTTTTAAAAATTACCAACAGACAATGGATTTTAAATGTCTGAGGGAACATTTTGGGAAGAGTCATTATTATTCACGTTTTCTTTATTGAGAGAAACCTCAGAGAGTCTCAGCCTTATCAGCAGTGATATAATAATAATTTACTGGCTTCTCTGAAGACAGATGTTGGATGTCTCATTTATGAGACAGACTTGGCTGGACTTTTATCAAGCCTGTCAACTTGAAACCAAGTTCTTGACTGAGGCCTGCATGTCATCAAGTTGAAGCCAAGTGCAAAAGGCATAAATGTCCCCTTATCCCAAGTGCCTCTCTTATAAAACTCCGGATGATTAACAGACTTTGGGTTCCTCTCTGTTTTGTGGCTTTGACTCATGGTGCATGCCCTGTTAGCCCAAGTGTTTCTTGCTGCTGGAGCTAAAACATAGTCACTTCCCAGGTATGGCCATTAAAGCAGGGGTGGGGGAGCTGTTTCCTTGAATGGCCCCAATAACCAGAGATTCACAAGATCCACCTCATCAAATGGATTTTCAAGGCCCTTTCTCATCTCTCTTCTTCCCTGAGGCCACCTCAGTTCAGTAGAATTCTCACCTGTGTATAGGAGACAAGAAAAGGATACAGACATTGAAGGAAGTCCATTTTGTTATCATAAACAAACCTGGCATGAAGTTATGTTGAAGGAACAGACCAAAACAAGTGGATACAACTTGGCTTCCAAGTCCACCATTGCAGTGAGCCACTAAGAACAGACGTGGCTACAGTCTCCCCATGGGGATCTTAGAGACACTCCCTGTTTCATCGAAGTTGACATCTGGTTCTCAGCCTGGCATTCAAGTTCCTTCGTGACATGGCCCTTCTTACCTGTTCTAACCTTATCTCCATCACTCAGCCCCTCTTAACTGCCTTTTATATGAGCATTCCAAAAATACTGAGTATCTTAACTTTCCCCATCGCTGCTCCTTTGCGCCTGCTGTCCCCGTCCCTGTAGAAGGCCTCTCCCCTCATCCCACTTTTCCCCATCAAAAAAGAATACCTGGAACAGGGAAAATTTGCTCATCTTTGAAAAATCAGCTCCAGTATCATTTTCGATGAAAAACTTTCCCCAAACACTGCTCTACCCATGCACCCACCCCCATCACACAGAGAGAGTTTCTTCTTAGAACCTTCTTAGAACCCTAGAACAGATGTGTGAGATGAGTCTTATTTGATCTTACCTGTACCCTCCTCTAATTCACCTGCCTGAGACCCTCATGGGCCCCTTTCTAATCTTCACAAAGGCTGTGAATGGGCTGGTGGAGGCCCTGGGGGAACAGGAAGGTGGCCTAGAAGGCAGTGTGCAGAAGTCAGGAAGGGAAATGCCTGGAGATGCAGTTGTGGCCCTGTGGGGGGAGGGCAGGATGTGGTGGGAAGGAAGGGCAGGAAAGCCTGCCAAGGAGTTGTCTGTGGTGTTCCTAGTGGATGTCTGGGGCTCAGCTGGGGAGGATTTGGACCACAGGAGGGACTCTGCTCTCTTGTAGAGGATAATTGAGAACAAGGAGTATTATGCAATTTGAAAACATCCAATTCCAGAAAATGTGGTAATCCCTGACAGTGACCCACTTCACTTGTACCAGTTTGGCTTCTCCCTGCAGGCCTGTCTCTCTCAGGCCAGAGCCATAGTGGGCTGTTCTCGGTAAGGAGAAAGACTCCCGGCCCCTGTGACAGCCCTCTCTCTCTCCCCACCCCTTCTTCCCAGCTTCTACTCCTCTCCCTTCACCTTTAGCTTCCCTCAGGCCCGCCTCACTCACTACCCTCCATTCTCTGTCATTTTTCACTCTTTCTCTGGCTGTTTCAGGGGCGTCCTCACTCTCCCCACTCCTCACACACCTCCCTCAGGCCTCCAGGCTTTTCCCACACCTACCTCATTGGGCTATTTCATTCCTTTACTTCATTCCCTTCACTATCTAGTGATCAATTCCTTATTAGTATCAATTAGTATAAATTCCTTATTTTCTCTTTTTTGCCTTTAATATTGTTTCCAACCTGTTTTCTGGAAGCCATTGGCGTTTCTATTCTGTCTTATTTTACCTCTTTCTGCCACTTCATTCACTTGTTCAACAGGCACCTCTTAAGCACGTAAGGGCAGTGTGCTAAGTGCTAATGAAACAACGATGCACGAGCCCATTTCATTAAGCTGGAGTTCGGGCTATCACCCAGAAGCGTGGGCTGGGGCACCAGGTGGGCCACGCAGACAAGTGAGGGACGTTTCCCCTGGGGTATCAAGAAGGGCACTGACTGGGTACAGCTGGCCTTCTCAGCACAGCTTTCAAACACCATTTCTGCTTTCTTGCTGATTTCTGTGAATTTCTGGGGTACATTAAGCCTAAACCTTGTGTGAATAGAACAGGAAACGGTTGGTACTATTAAAAGAGGGAAGAGATAGAAGACTGTAGTTCAAACAGGACATATTTTCAAGACTCACAAATGTGCATTTGCATAAATGTCCAAAGTTAGTCAGCAGATCACAACAACTTAGGAGACGTGCAGCAGGAATGTTTTTAAAGTCACATCTGACCATACACCAGTCCTGTGGTCACTGTGTGGGATTAGCCAGGTTTTGCAAAGGAGGAAATATGGAAAAGGAACATGAAAAGATTTCCCAAGGTCACACTGAAGGCAGTGGTGAAAGGGATTAGGAGCTGAATGCTCTCTCGGGCCGATTTCTGAGCTACTAGACAACACAGCTTCTTGAATGCAGATGTTAAACAGGTTTTTGCCTTTAAAATAAGAGTAAAACATGTTCTTATTTTGGCCATATTTCAGTGCAAATATCCTAGGGAAGAGAGGGGTCCATCTGAAGGGAAGTTAATTATTTGAAGCTTCTGGAATATGAATCAATCCAATTTCTCCCTGTGCCTTAGTAAAGACTGCTTTAGACTTCAGAGAGAGGTTCTCAAATTTTGCTGCTTATTGGAATTATCTGAGAGCTTTTAAAAACCCTAGTGCTCAGACTTCATCCAGACCAAGTCAGACTCTCTGGAAGCAGGACCCAAACATCATTATTTTTTTTTTCAGTTCTCCAATACACAGCCAACTTTGAAAAGCTCCAGTGTTGAAACTGTGCACCCTGGGATCACCTGGGAAGCTGCAACTATTGTCCCTTGTCTCTAGGGACTATGGTTTAATTGCTTTGGACAATGGTCTGGGATCATTGAAAGATCCCAGAATCATTCCAATATGCAACGGAGTTCGTGAACGACTGCTCAAGGGCCCTGCTACTCAGAGTCTAGTTCTGTGAACCAGGCATCATTTGAGAGCCGTTTAGAAATGCAAAATTTTGGAGGTGGCTCAGTTGGTTACGTATCCGACTTCGGCTCAGGTCATGATCTCACAGTTCATGATTTCAGGCCCCGCATTGGGCTCTGTGCCATCAGCACAGCACCTGCTTCATATACGCTCTCTCCCTCTCTCTGCGCTCCCCTCCACATGGGCACACACATGCTCTCACTCTCTCACACTCTCTCAAAAATAAATAAACATTAAAAAATTAAAAAGAAAAGAAATGCAGAATTTCAGGCCCCACCCCAGACCAGAAGAAATAGAACCTGCATTTTAATAAGGTCCTCCCTCAGATGATCTGGATGCATATTAAAGATTGAGAAGCATGCTTTTAGAGCACTCCCCCTTCAAAAAAATTTTTTTAACTTTTTACATTTTTAAACAGGGAAAGTTTATCCCTTTCTTCCAATAAGGTATAGGATAGGCACAAAGAGTGAATCACAGAATTTTAGAAATGGAAATAATAACTGCTAATGGTAATAATAATGTGCTATTAGCGTTAACTATGTGCAAGGTATTTTTCATGCCAACCATTCTACATGCACTCCTTTGATATCCACCACAAACCTATGATATAGGTAGGAACCCTGTGCCCATTTCACAGCTGACCAAACCGAGGCTGACTCCTAAGTGAGCAGCTGCAAGACCACATGGAAATGCAGAAGGAGTACCTATCCTAAGATTTCCAGAGCATGAAAGCACATGCTCTTAACCGCTTGGTCAGATTTTCCCAGCCTGTATGCAAAACACTCTGGATACGTTACAGATGGGCAACCATATTGATCCCTTCAGCACCCCCATCAGGCCAGCAGGGCCTGGGGTGACCACCCACTAGAGAAAAAAAGATTAGGAAACCCTGGTCTAAATTACACTTTTTCCAAATTATCCTTTTGTGTGTTGTTGGACAAAGAAGCTGTGTCTCCTAAGGCTCAAGTAACTTACTTGCCTAAGGTCATACAGCTACTTAAAGACATTGTGGGCCCAGAGCCCAGGAGTCTCCACTGCCTGCCTGCCTCCTCCCACTAAGTGGCATTTCTTCTTCAAGTGTGGTCCCCAGCCCAGGAGCATCACCATCATCTGGGAATCATAAGAAATGCAAATGTTCAGGTCCCGGGTAGCAAGCCCTCCAGGCTATCCTGTTGTCCGTTGTTTGAGAACCAGTGCGCCAAGGCAAGCAACCCCGATGGCCTTGCCAGTGCACCTGCTTGCAGCTCCTGTGCTTGGGTCCCTATTGCAGCTGCAGCTTCTCTGCAAAATACAGATTTCTTCAGGGGCTTAGCTTTGAACTAAGCTGAAATTTACATGCTGATTTAATCTTCTTAGGGCCTTCTTTACCTCTCAGAAAAGAGCTGTAATGCTTTAGAAAAGAGAAAGTAAATGATGAATAACAGATAAAATATTAAACACTCTCTCCATGCCTTCAACCCACTTTCTGCTAGGACAGCAAATACATGGGCATCGGAAAGGGAAAATGAAACTGACATTTCTTGAACACATGCTATGGTGAGACATCAGGCACACAGTGATACAAGCATGCACGCTCTCCTCATCCATCATCTCAATGAATACAGTAATCCCTGTCTAAAAAATAGGAAGACCAAGGCTCATAGAGATGAAGTGGCTTGCCTAAGATTATAAAGTGGCAATGGCAGCCCCCAGGGTTTGTCCCACAGTCCCTGCTCCTGTGTTCCTTGCCCTCCAGCAGGAAAGGGAAAGAGCTTAGGACACACTCAGTATCTGTAATGATTGGTTTCCAGATTTCTCAGAGCAGCTCCCAAAACAGATCCACTTACTCAGAGCCCACAGGATGCCTAACTGAACAACACTTTCCTATATTCTGTGTTTGCACTGTATTATGGAAGCTGCTCTCAAAGCATAAGAATTAACCATCCAAGGAATTTGTTCAGCCGTGCTTGAGTACCCTGAAAAGCTTAGAAGTTTATTCCTTGGGGCACCTGGGTGGCTTAGTCGGTTGAGCCTCCGTCTTCGGCTCAGATCATAATTTCGCAGTTCGTGGGTTCGAGCCCCGTGTCGGGCTCTGTGCTGACAGCTCAGATGAGGCCTGCTTGGGATTCTGTGTCTCCTTCTCTCTCTGCCCCTCCCCCACTCGTGTCTCTCTCTCTCTCTCTCTCTCTCTCTCTCTCTCTTTCTCTTTCTCAAAAATAAATAAACATTAAAAAAATTTTAAAAGAAGAAATGAAATGTATTCCTGACAGCATCTGTCCCAAGGCAGCAGTTCCTTTGTTGCCAATGCCCTGCTAGCAGCCTTGAGT